CTGATGTGTTGACTAAAAGCCAAAGATACAAAAGACCGACTCGCACCCCAGTCAAATAACACCAAGGAAGGTACAAAATTCACAAGAAAAGTACCAACCACGACATCGGGCGCTGCACGGACCTCCTCCGCAGTCAATTGGAAGGTTCTCCCTCGCACCTTCGGTACCTCGGCCTTCACTGGCCGGCTCTCAGTAGCTCTAATAGCAGCAGGAGCAGATCCCAGAGGTGCTCCCTGGGTAGTCCCTCGTAACTGTGGACACTCTGCCTTGCGGTGTCCAGTCTGGTTGCAGTGAAAGCATACTGCAAACCCCTTGGGGCAATCCTTGGCCATATGCCCCTCCTTGCCACATTTGTATCAAGACCCCACTCTGCACACACCCTCGTGGCTCTTGCCGCACTTGCCACAAGTGCGGCCCTTCTGACTCCCAGATCACGAATCAGCAGGCTTGGCTCGCTTGGTTGCCGGCTGAGACCGTGCCGGTCGTCGATCCCTCGCCTGAGACTCAGCCTCCTCCCTAGCCTGGGTCTCCAACTCTATCTCCTTCTTCCGGGAATTTGCCTGAAGCTCATCAAATATCCGATACATCGAGTTCGCCACGAAGTACCATATATCCCTCCTCAAAATGCTCAGGTAGCAGCTCATACATGCCTGCACGGAGGAAACGTTCTCTGGGCAAAACATTGTCGGCTCATGGAACTTCCTTGTAATCACTGTGACAGAATTAGTACCCTGTTTGAGGGTCAAAAACTCCTGGGCCAAACGCTCCCTTTCTACCTGGGGAATGTACTCATCTCGGAACATAACGGTGAACCTCTCCCAAGTCACTACAGCAAGCTCAGCAGGCGAATAATGCGCTGTCACAAACTTCCACCAATCCTTCGCTCCTAAGCGAAGCTGGTTCAGTGAGAATCAAACCCTCAAATGCTTAGGAGACGAGCACGTAAAGAAACATCCTTCTATGTCTGATATCCACCTCGTCGCTGCAATCGGGTCCTGGGCCCCATCAAACTCCGGTGGTTTTGTGTTGCTGAACTCCAGGAACAGCAATGCATCACCACCCTGCGATCTAGTCGTAGCTACAGTTGCAGTGGTCGCAGCTACAACAACCTCAGAAAGAGCAGCGTATCTCTCATCGAATGTCTCTATCAAGGTGGTCTTAATAGACCCGAACATCTCTGGAATCTCGTCACGGATGGCAACAACCACCTCATCATGAATCATCTGGCGGAGCTCCTCGTCGCTCACACCCCCTCCACTGGTCCCTGGTCTGTGACGTGTCCCTACCATGATGCCTCTCTGAAATACAACACAAGATATTAGAAATTTGCTCGGATGTACACACACTCGATATCCCAACCGTACTTGATCTCTGGTACCCTAAGGATTCTTACTTGGATTGCGCACTGACCAAGTGCCTTCGATAGTACGACCCAATACTACCGACCACACCTACTCAACATTCACACCAAGTCCTCCTCCCAGAGCCCCAAATCCCAAGTACGCTTTTCTCTCTAATCATGTCCTACTCACTAGCAATTCTCTCATAAGCTCCTTGCTGTTATCTCAACACTCTCAAGCATCCCTAGCAGCAAAACCCCTAGACTAAGGCATCATATATCAGGCCACTCTAGTCCTAATAAGAATACCTAGTCTTATTCTAGCATTCATAATATAATTCATCATATAGCATAACATAACGTTTCTTTTAAAACTTATTGTAAGGGTATTGTGGGAAATCACTGTTCGGGCGTTGGCTGATCGTATACACGGCTCTGCTCAGTTTGTCTCAAAAATCTTTTTACACCTTTTAGAAATTTACTTTATTATCAAAAAAAAATTCCTCAAATCCTCAGTTCGAGTTCAGATACGCCCGAAGATGCATCCGAATCCCTCAAACCAAGGCTCTGATACCAAATTCTAACACCGTAAAATTTAAAACAAAATTTTCACATTTTTAAACGCACATTCCCAAACACATTTATCGATAAAACCCCATTGTATCATAACTTTGTTTCACAAATATTTCCCAAGATCAAAATACATAAAAAAAAACCCATGCATGTGTACGAATCATGCTGGCGCCTTCCCGCGATCATCACTGGTACCTGAAACACATAACACTGTAAGCATAAAGCTTAGTGAGTTCCCCAAAATACCATACATACACATACTAGCCACTTGAGGCCATAACTCTGTGGGTCTGTGGACCCTAACTCTGTGGACCCTCTGGTCCTAACTCTATGAACCTTCCAGTTCTAACTCTGATATACTCTGATATACTCATGACATAAATCACATAGAAATAATGCAATACAACACATCACATAATAGCATACAATAACTATGTCACATAACTCTAATTACCACTCAAGGTAAAGTATAGTGAGAAGACTCACCTTAGATCTCTCGAATAAATCAATGACTCGGTAGAAATACGATCTAGCCTCCGTCTAAACACATAAAGTAATACTTTCATAAATATAACTCTCAGAACTAGACTCAACCCTCTCTAGGCACCCTCAGAAGGGTAAAAGACCATTTTACCCCTTCTTTGGCTCATAGGCCCTCATTATTGACCAACCCTAAAAGTCAACCAATGTCAACGGTCACACTTTGACCCGACTCGTCGAGTGCACTTGGGCAACTCGGAGAGTCCACATGTGTGCACTAACTCTTTAGTCCCATTTGACGCATCGAGTCCCTCCTTTTACTTGACGAGTCCCCAGGTATGAATCGCGGGGCCACCCCGACTCAACTCTCCGAGTCTCAAGAACAACTCGACAAGTACATGACATGCACAAACCCTATTGACCTCCTGAGGTCTGGCCTTCCCAATCAAAATAATCACGTAAAGTCCAGACCTTGACACTCATATATCATCTAGATGGTCTCATTTGGTGATTTAGCCCCAAAACTGACATTCTAAGCTCATGACTCCCAAGATAACCCATAAAGCTCCAAGGTTTAAGGTCTCTGGACCTCTTTGAGTTCAGATCCAAAGCATAAACTCGAGAAGGGACCAATTGCTCCACATAACCATCCTCAAAAGAGGTTAGAAAGCCCTAACTCTAAGAATCAACACCAAAACTGAAGAAGGTCCGAATAAATACCTCAAGTTGAAGTCTCTAGACTCTGAAACCACTAGAATCACACCTCCTTCAGTCTCCTCTTGCTCTTGATCACCTTCTTCTTGCTAAACCAAAGATAGAAAGATCAAATATAGCTTCTCCTTCCTCCCAAACGATTTAGCTCACTTAGGGTTCTCTCAAGGGACTGGTAGCCGCAATGGGGGACTATGAGTGCCCTTAAATAGGCTCCAACCCCGGGGGAATTAAGGTTTCATTAAACAGCATGGACTTGTTGAGTCCACTAATGGACTCGCCGAGTCCAGTCGCGAACTAGGATGATAATCCGCGACCCTACTCGCTGAGTCTAAGCATCAACTGGCCGAGTTCCTTCGCAAATTCCAAAAATAAAAATATTAGAATAATATACCTGGGAATCCGGATGTTACACTCTAATTTCGGCCATTGAAGTGTTTTTTTATGTGTTCACCACATAATTAAAAAATTATTATTTTATAAACGTATTCAATTGTATTCTTTCTAAAAACATTCTACGAACCAAAAACACCTTGGAGTTATGTTATAATTTACATTAAGTGGAGAGAGGGAGCTTAGATTTTAAATGTTTTTTTATGATGGAATTTAAATGTATGGGTGATGTTAGTTTGTTCATCATCTTATCTAAAAAAAATGCAATTATGATAATTATAAAATATAAAAAAAATCAATGTAACTCCCATCAATGAGTAAATGTGACCTTACATATAATTAGATTAGGCGAATGCCTGCATGTTGTGCAGAAATGCCTATATAGTAGAAATCTTTACAAATATATCTTTTTTTTTAATAGAACAATAACGTTGTTGTCAAATTTGATATAATAATTTATATACTAAATTGATATAATATATTGATTATTTTCAATTATATGATAATATATACATCTATTATAACTGCATAATCTCAATCGTTTGAATAACTGTATCTGCGAGTTACACATGAATAAAATTAAAAGTAATATGATCACACATATATATATATATATATATATATATATATATATATATATATATATATATATATATATATATATCATATTTTAGGTGAATGCCCACGTGTTGCGCAGAAACACATATATAGTTGAAGTTTTTACAAATATATGTTTTTTTAAATATGACAATAACGTTGTTGTTAAATTTGATATAATAATTCATATATATTAAATTGATAAAATATATTGATTATTTTAAATTATATGATAATATATACATCTATTATAACTGTATAATCTCAAGCTCTCGAATGACTTCTATCCGTGAGTTACACATGAATAAAATGAATTATAATATATGATTTAATGTTATTTATAGTTGTTGTTATTGTTAATTATTTTTTAAAAATTTATTTGTTCAATGTTTTATTAAAAGGACACTACAATGAACCACTTTTAGCTATTTACAAAATGTTATTTGGGTTGTTTAAGTTAAACTAAAATTTATATATAAGTTGACCCTGTAATGTTATATTCAAATTAATAATTTAAATATTTTATACAAATTGTTCCAAAATTGTCTCTTTAAAATGATAATGGTTTACAACTAACAATATATTAAAACTAATAAATTAAGTATAATATGTTAAAAGTTAGCAAAACATAACTTTATAAGTAGAAGTAAAAATATTATTTTAATATTGAAATTTAGTTTATATATAATTACACTATAGGTTTGAAAGTTTCAAATGAATGTGGTGAAAGGAAAAAATGCATGGGAGTTTCAAATGAATGTGGTGAAAGAAAAAAAATACTTCCTTTATAATATAGTATGATGTGTAAATATCATAGTTGATTTTCATATTTATATGATGGAATGTAGATTGAGTGAGAATGAATAAGATTGATATTATTAGTGTATGTAATGTATTATATGTTTAGGTTGGGGATGTGACACTATAGCTATCATCGGTATTCTTGCCCATCGTGATGCATCACAGCGTGCTCTCATTGAACAAGAATATAAAGTTATGTACTCTGAAGACTTGACCAAACGTTTGTCTTCAGAGCTCACTGGCGATATTAAGGTAACATTTTGTATATCTATCACTATAATATTGTTTTCTAATAAACAAATAAAAATGAAAGCTGGTTGATATTGTGTACTTGAGGGGGGATTTTGAATGGTTCAGAAAGCATTGTTACTTTGGATGCCTGATCCAGCACGGAGGGATGCAATGATACTACGAGAAGCACTTAGTAGCAACATTGATCTTAAAGCAGTTACAGAAGTTATATGTTCTCGGACTCCCTCGCAATTATATCAGCTTAAGCAACTTTATATTGCACTTTTTGGAGTGTACCTTGAGCATGATATTCAATCTCAAACCTCTGGTGATCATAAAAAGGTACTTTTCATTTTACTAATTATTTAAATAAAGAATATGGGTTATAACTAGTTGGCGGGTTAGGTGCAATAAATACTAGTCTCATCCCATTTATTTGTTAAAAGTAAGTTCTTTTTTTGTCCCTATTCATATAGTGGTTTTTATGAATTTCTCCCGAAAATGAATCTTTTGCATTTTTAGTCTTAGTGCTATGATTTCTTCATGTTTGGACCTAAATTTTTATCATTATCATTATCGTTATCATTGTTTTGTAATAATACATGATAACATAAATAAAAGTAATTATAATAATTATAGTAATACATGATAAAAACAATAAAATGAAGGTAATATTAACATCCGAACTCTTAGATATGAGAACATAAGGACAAAACTGTTATTTAATCGCCGCATTATTACAACACTATCTTTTATTTTATCTATTAGATTATTGTACCTTATCAAGAAATTTTAAATAGAAAATTATACCTAATTATAGCAAATTGTATCCTATTTAGACATTTTTTTTTGAAAATATATCTAGTTATAACAACAAAAAATTCTATGTACTTGGATGAAGCTAAATAAGTAGATAGACATTTTCAAGTACAATGAGATTGTGTGATATACTCTAGTAGGCTAAAAAATAATGTTGTAACATCCCAAAATCCATGACAAATTTTTTTATTTTCATAGTAACATTTCCATAAGAAACCATTGATAAACAACCATTGTTTTCAAATCATTTCCAAAAAAATTAGACTATCAAGTCAATCTCGCAAAACATAAAACAATGAAGGAGGTATAGAATCACACATTCGCTTTGCCTAAATTATCAGAAGTACTTGAAAACATGAAACCAATAACTATAAGTCAATGTTTAATGAGATACCCTTAATATACCCCACACAACAATATATAAACAATGCATGCACACTGGACCACAATATAAACTGGATTATCCATAGGCCCATAGTCTCCCGACTGGATTGCCCCTAGGCCCACAGTCTCCTGAAGGGATTGCCTAGAGTTTGTGGGCTTGCAGCATAAAGTCGTATTGTCTCAACCCAACCACACTATATCGACATATGAAATAAAAGAAATGAATGACCAGAAAGTGCAAGCAATCATACAAATTTACCAATATAACAAACCACTATAACATAGCAACATCCCATACACAAGGATATATAATACAATATAATGGGTCAACATCTGTGCCTTCGACCTACGAGTACAATGAGAAACTCAACTCATAGTCATGAAGATAACATTAATAATCAATAATCCAATAACTAGCTCGTCATGTCACATATTAGCAAACAGGGACCAAGTCTCAATCTACAACCTAAAATCCTCAAATTGACCGTAAGTCAAACTTGGTCAAAGTCAATAGCTAAAAGTTCAATGGTCAACTCTAGCTGACCTATGCTCATGTGGCATGCAACTGTACGCCTAACGTAAAGCTCAAGACGGTAAAACAGGTCAAATCAGGGCTACGCCCATATTAGCCTCCTGATGACCAACATAATTATTAAGTCCTTAAAACAAAAGGCCGATTGTTCATATTTTAGATTTATACCACATGGACATCTTAATAGATAAAGTCTCTGACTTTATCCTTTTACATGGTCACAAGAAGCACAAAACCTAAACCTTGGTCCTTAAAGTTATCTATTATTCAACGAAAGGTTGTATCAATCAGATACACTTCAAGTATAATAAACAAGAACAAACTGACTAAGCAAACAAGAATAGAAAAAGTAAAGAACAGGAAATATTCACAAAGTTGTCTTTCACCAAGAAAGGGTTTTTTTCACCAAGAAAACGGGTTTTCACAAAGACGGACACCAAGACGCTAACATTAGGGTTTCACCCTAATTTTGAATATATACTAAACTAAACTAGTATGTCCCTTAAATAAAGGGATTGTTTCAAATATATACTAAGAACTAATCATTATCACCAAGATATCGGATCTGCTATCTATTATATATATATATATATATATATATATATATATATATATATATATTTATTTATTTATATTTATATACCAAATATACAAATATTACATATATATATATATATATATATATATATATATATATATATATTATATACCTAATATACAAATATTACATAAGATAAATATCTACACACTGATGTTGATAAGGCTTGAGACATTATCTCAGATCTTGATGTTGGCACTGACACGGGTGGTCATCATATAGAGTGTTTGACACATCATATCATAAGGTGTAACCTTAGAATCCCCCCCTATCTGATGATGTCAAGACTAATCTTCATCATATGAGTCACTAAAAGAACCATTGTAGAATGTAACAACTTCGTTCAAGATTTTCGGGTTTACCTAAATGAATTCATCAAATTTAAGTTATTCTAATATTTTTCTAAGCCCAAGAGAAATCAACACACGGTGTCCTATTTCAAGTTCTAAATGACTAAGCTCTTCCATGCGAAGATGATTTAAATGATCAGTGGGTGTAGTAATAAGATCATCAATATGTTGAAAACATATGTGACTGACTATCAAGATAGAAAAAATACCATGTTCTAGTTCTCAAATAAACATGAGAAGAACACACAATGGCAATATTAGTAGTAAATTGTACATTGTATACTTGTTTGGTAAAATAATAGTTAATTTTTTTTAAAGTAAAGTTCATTGTAAAATAAAATTTTAGCATCTTATATTCAGAAGTTTTAAGGTAGAAAAGTAAAAAGTTTAAAACATAAAGTAGCATTGTCTAAAAACATAAAATCAAAGCATATAAATGTTTATGTCCCTTAGTGCAGTTATCACAATTTTGTTCTTAGAGTCAAGAGCCTTCCCTTCATGGAAATAAAAGAGAACCTTATAAACAACGTCAAAAAGATGACTAGTGGAGATAAGGTTGCTTTTTAGACCCTTGACATAGAACACATCCTTCAGTTTGAACGCCCTGCATTGAAATGTTCCAACTCCCATGACAACATCTTTATTGTTGTCGCCAAAAACCATAATAGGACCGTCTTTCTTCAGAAAATCTGTAAAGAAGGACTTGAGACTAGTCATGTGTCTAGAGCACCCACTATCAAGAAACCAAGTATATTCTAGATTTTGACTCAACCCTTGGAAAACTTGAGAGGTATCAGTGTTATACATATTAAGATTTTCATTAGGGGACTCATTGATAAGATCCATAGGACCCTTAACAATCAACTCCTCATCTTCAGAGTGTCTCATCTTCTTCCACCCATTCTTCACGATCCTCTTGCTTTGTAATGAAAGCTTTTGGCACAGAGATGCTCTCCTTCTTCATGTGAGCCAACAACTTCTTCTATAGCACTTCATAGTTCTCTAAACTTTTAGTTTCTTTCTTCTCTTTGCAGTCCCTGAAAAAATGGTCAGGGCTTCCACAGTTAAAATAGTTACCTGAGTTTCCCTTCTCCGAAGAGGATCTCCTTGCTGAACTACCTCCCTTAAACTGAGCTCTTCGAACCCTATTTGATATGCTTTCTTCATAACGTTTGACAATAAGATCAACATTAGCAACAAGTTCATCATTGATTTCTTCACCACTCTCTTTACCGTGATTTGAGTCATTTGATTCACTTATGAGATTCATTGCTTCCTTTCGAGAAACCAAGGCTATATAATTTTCCTTGCTTAAGTCCTTCATGATGCCTTTACGAAGAGCTTTGGTCTCTTCGCAATTTTGTAGATTTCCAAATAAGGAATTCAAATCCTTGGCATTGATCTTCTCACCTTTCTTATGGACGTCAACATCATGTTCCCAGCTTTTCCCAAGGGAGTCCAGGAAGTTCAAAACCAATTTAGAAGAATGATTGACAGTTCCCGGCCTGTGCATATCATTTACCAAATAGTTAAACCTGTTAAAAGTTCGGGTTAGTGACTCTCGTTGTTGAGCGAAGAAATGCTCATATTTCCAATTGAGGTTGTTGATGGTAGTTGCTTGAACTTCCATAGTGCCTTCATAATCCACTGTTATCGTAGCCATCATCTCTTGAGTCAACTCAAAATTCTATACAAGAAGATACACATGATATGGAAGAGAGTTTCTTATCGTTGCGACTAGTCAGTATTGTCATCATAAATAGTCTATGGTTTTTGCTTCAAAGGACCAACAAGATCATTATTGACAATAGCTTGACACATAGGAACATGAGGAAGGGTTTGTTTTCACCACGAAAACAGGTTGTCACAAATATGGTCACCAAGACTTTAACATTAGGGTTTCATGCTAATGTTAAATATATACTAACCTATACTAGTATACCCCTTTAATGAAGGGATTGTATCTAATCTATAATAAGAATCGATCCTTATCACCAAGATATCAAATCTGCTATATATATGTATGTATGTGTGTATGTATGTATATATATATATATATATATATATATATGTATATATATATATATGTATATTTACCTAATATACAAAGATTACATAAGATAGCTATCTACATGCTGACACATATAATGCTTGAGATGTTGGTACCGATGCTGATGTTGGTGTTGGCGTTGGTGCTGATATATGGGTGTAACCAAGCTCTCATTTTCATGATTTAGCAACCCTAAAAACATCTGGAAATGATATTCAAATGGTCTGGAGTAGCTCATACTCATGTAAACCAAAGTTATGTGGAAAAAGCATGAAATACTCAACGATAACTAGATCAAACATGAAAAATCATCAAGGTAGAAATTCTATACCTTACGAAGAGGGATGAAAGGATGTAAATTCAGGATCTACATTGATTTAAAGTCCCAAATGACTCTACAATACTCTTCTTCCTTCAAAAGTGAACACAAAGCACTCCAAAAGCTCTACGCTCACAAATCGCGACTAGGGTTTCGAGGAGGTCGTTTTGGAGGGTGGAGGCTATGAATGGAGAGGGACTTAAGGGTTAGAGCCTTTAAGTAGGTTTCATAACCCAAAAGATTAGGGTTTTTTATGCGCTCCTACGCTCAACATAGGTCACTTAATCCCCACGTCCAACTCCCTCATATGCTCAATA